TTTTGGGGGGGGGAGGGTAGTAAAAACGTGTTCGCTGGTCACATCTGGTCCGAAGATGATAGTTAGGAGACCCTGCCTTAACCTATTTCGAATGTGTGCAGAAATAATAATAAATGTCAAATAAAACCTATTACCTACCAAACATTTAAAAAAATAATACAAGGTTGCTATAATTTTATTCAGTCGAGCAGTTAATATTGCAGAAGAGGAATCGGGTGTGTAAAATTTATTGGAAGTAGTTCACTGCACAATGTAAAAAAAAAAAAAACAAATTGGTTCGAATTTGCAATTGTAAATTTAGATAACATTGTTTTATTTAAAACCAAATGTATTTTAGCTCATATCGTATAAAAATGTTTTATGCATTACTGCATCCGTATTACGCATTGGTTTCATTATTCGAGCCATAAACAGGTTTATATATCCTACAATAAAATCATTAAAATCTTTTGAATTTTAACGATTACCTATTGTTAGGTGCCATTTTCTAGAATACTTTACCAGAAATGTCTGAACAGAATAAATTAATAACCGTAAGCCACAAAACATCATATTATAAAATATTATCTTGAGGTATTTACAAAAAAAAAAAAAAAACCCCAGAAATAAGACTAAAAATATAGAAACGGTAGGTACATAGACTTATAACGTTTGTTAGTACAACTATTATTTTTGCGCGGCCGTGTGACATAGTATGTTGTGGTTGAAAGTATTTAATGTTCTTATAGTCGTATTGCGTGTATTTATAACATATTTAATTCATGCAAGCATGTTTGGATAAACGTTTAGACGAAAGAAGCTCACAAAAAAAAATAAGCCAACTTCCATTTTGAAACTCTAGACGAAGAACGCAGTTTTGTGGACCAACAGACAGCTGCAGTAAGTAGGTATGTAATTCGATGTCGCATGAATCACTAGCATTCGTAATATCATATTATATAGTCGTCAGTCGAGGACCACCATTCGAAATCTTTTATCGATCTAATCGTATTTCCCAAACGGACAAAATATTATATTTTATTATTGTAATATTATTATTCACCGGATCGACTGGTGTGCGGTCAGACGAATTGAAATCATTCGCCGCCGCGAATATAAACCACGATGGTGTAGCATTATTGTATAAGATACATCGCATATTATTGTGGTATCTGCAAACGTTTATTTTCGTATAATTTGGTGGAGGCTGTCGCAACACACGGTGGCAAAATCATAGCAATAACATTATCAGATCTGTCCATCTCATTAATACAAACATAATATACTCACTGTAATGACAATAATTATAATATTATATGAACCGAATAACCCGACCGCGGCTTCTATATATTATACATTTTATAATAATTTAATACGTAGGTAATGGATGATTATACTTTGAAATTAAATAATATATTATTAAAGCACATTTTCTATTATGCATTTATGCCGATACGCGACTGTAACGAAGACTACAGCGCGTGTTTCAAAAGCTATAAATCAGTGACCAAAACGTTCACACCACATCGATCGTTGTGCGAATATTAAACAAATTTACATTGTTTTCACTTCTTGTTTATTAATACCATCGATCGTTTACAGTTGTTGTACCTGTTACTATACACTTAGGTGTTAGGTTTATTTTTATTATTGTTATTATGCACTTCAATCCGTTGTAAATATCGTTACGTTCTCAACTTAAGCGCACAGTTGCACAACAACAATAATAATAATAATAATAATACGATATAGAAGTATAATACCTACCGCAGAAAAAATGCAATGTTTGATATGAATTCACATAAATCATAATACCATATAGATATGATATTATAAGCTGTGTATATTATTGTATTGATATCTCATTCACAACGACCGACGTATTTAGAAACGATAGGTACACACACGGCCGTTTGCAGACAAAAAGCACTTGACGAAATATTTTTACCAATTATTGTTATTAATATTATTATTATTATTACCAGGGTACACCTGCTTGTTAGTTATAATTAATGTCTTATACGAAACGCATTTTACCGTAGGTCAATAGGTCACACAAACCATATGATATCAAATGGGTGCACGCGCATAATATATACCTACACACACAACCAATAGTTAGCAATATCCTCGATACTCTTACAAACGGTTTGTATTTTCCATTGCTATATGCTCGTGTACGGATCCCGTGCGACTTCCAAGTCCTTGACCCTTTATAACACAATGATTATTATACTTCGGCCAAGTCGATCCTTTTTAGGTAACGATTGGTCACATATATTATTATATCCGATACAAAAATGGCGAACAAACCAGAGCGGCTGCGTGTTTCTTAGGATCACAAGCGGCTCC